TGAAGCCTAAGGTGCCTCAAATGTCTTGTTTTGACCAACCAACAGATCAGATTCAGTTTACTATCTAATAAAGTAACAAAAAGCAGGAAAAGCCTAAAAAGGTGAAACCAGAGATATTTGGTGTTTACTTGGGGGGATGGCTTTGAATAATTAATCAATTACCCAAAAGTAGCTGATTAATTTTTTGTCAATCACCTAATCAGCCACAGAAGAAGATGCCCGTCAGAGCTGTGGCAACTTCAGAACACTTTCTTGCTGAAATTGGGAACAAAACTCCACACTATATAGTTATCGAAAAACACAAAAGTTAACCGATTTTAACTGCTGACTGTTTTTGATAATAAATAATAATAACTTCACCTTTAATGCAAAGATGCAGCTCAAAGTTCTTCACAAAACATGATTAAAAACAATGTTAAGCAGGGGAAAGATGTATAAAGAAGACAGAACAGGGCCCAGAATGACAAGTAGGAGTGAAACCAGTCAAGTACTATACCTTTAACTTTTCTCAACACTGCCATACATTTGCATTTGGCAATTCAACTCTCAAGGGAGCTTCTTGACCATTCAAGCTTTGTTAGAGCTCCAACTGTAAGTCAACTCACACCGTCTGTGCAGAAAATAAACGTTTCGAAGCTCTGGTTGACTAAAATAATTCCTCTCCCACTTTGCAACTCCATACATGACATGTAAAACTAATGCCCTCGCTTACACAAATGTGGACTCTGGTGCAGGCTTTCTGCATGTGACAATCCATGAAGCCCGGTGCAGCTTGCCAACTCTTTTCTCAGGACGCCTGGCTCTTGTGATAGCTGCTCAACCTTTTTATTGAATGCGTATCCATTACACACATGGCCAGTGGTGTCCCAGAAGCGCCAGCAAGTCAGCTGTGTCCTCCTTAGACCCTCCCCGGTCCACAGGTTTTCACATCTGGTCCTACTGCACAGACAAGAATATACGGCCCACAGCAAGACCAAACTCCTGGGAATCACCTTCACCCCGGGAACAAATGAATTCCAGATTTGCTTCATTTCACATCTGTCTGTCCCGTCCTGTCAACCTGGTGACACCGCTCAACGTGACATCGCTAAACTCTCAGATTCCATTACAGTTGGCCTCATGAGCTCTGTCACACTCGAAAATTCATGAACACAGCTTTCTGGTTTTATCGTTAGAATATTCACTGTGTTTTTGTTTCCTGTAGACATATGTGTGTGTGTGCGTGTGCATGTGCTGTGGGTGCTTCATTCTCATTCATATGCATCAGCAAGTTATCAGGGACCGCTGTGCCTCATTGAGCCGGGAAGCCGCTTTCCATTTATTTCTCAAATGCAGCGGAGAGTGAGTCTGCTCCTGTCTAATAAAACTTATAAAAATGGCTATGCCACTTTAAAAACTTCTAGTAACAAAAAAGAAAGCCTGGCTCATTGGAAAATTACAAAACAGGATAATGAAATATGGAGGGTCTATACTCTGTGTTGCACAGTGAAGGATGAAATTCATTACCCAGCAGCATTAGGAGTAGCTGTCTGCTACTGTAGCTGAGCAGTGGCTTAGCGTCATCGCTAACTGCTGAGTCCTGACAACTATTGCAGTGCGTTTATGTCCTTTTATTGTGATCGTAAAAAAAAAGGGCTTTTGTCAAAAGACATTGCCGAACATTAATGCATCAACACACTTTGAGTGCAAAAATCTCATCCTACCCGCATAACTCTGAGCTACACTGTGTCGCTCTCCTCATCAACATCTGCCATCCTGCTAATTAGTCCAAAAAAAGCCACACATCACTGGGTTTCAGCGGTGCACAAACAACGTGTGACACTCACGAGGGGGGGGCTCACGGACACAATGGGAATCACAAAGCCCTGCCAGATCACAGAATGAATCAACTACAATATGTTATTGTCTGCAAAAAAATAAATAAAAAATTGCCTCCAGCCTGGTGGAGAAAGCGAGCTGTGAAGAGTCTGGCTGACCATGGTGTAAGAGCTGCTGAACTTCAGGTCAAAAGGTTCAACGAGGTTTCATCCTTGTTGACCAAAGATTAGGAAAAGCTTCCTACTACTGCTCCGCCGCACAGAGGGCAATTGTTGCAAGGTTAGCTCGAGTGGAACCCAGCAGAGAGCAGCCTGGAGCAAAGGCTGAAATAAATGTAATCAAAGAAGATGAGAGATCAGAGGAATCAAGAAAAGAGAAAGAAAGACAAAGAAACAAAGGTGCACAAGGGATTATCAGTCGCGGGTATAAAAATAAAAGTAGGATTGTGGAAAGTGAGAAAAAGAACAAGGCTACAGGAAAATCCTTGTGTCCTCTTGTCCAGGCAAGAAATCTGATTCAATAAATAAAAAATGTCAGCCTTGTGAGGCGAGCTTTGCAGGCCAGTTGAGAAAGGTGGGCACATATCCATGCAGAACACCCGCAGCCGTGAGAACAGAGAGAAAGGGGGAATGGAGAGAGAGTGAGGGAGCCAGCTAGTCATAAATCTCCCACAGCTCCTGGGGTCAGGCAGACGGGGAGAGTGTCAAAATTGTTTCTGGGTGTGAAGGGAAGGGGAGGAAGGTGTCTAACCAACCACTGTGACTGACTCCTGCTCCTCGAATCAACCTGCTGCAAGGCCGGTCAGTCACGCTGTGACTCCAGCAAACCACTTCTGCCTCATTTGCATACACACACATTCATCGACTCTGCATAATCACAAGAGTAGAGTAGTGAGTGTGTGTGAGTATGTGTGTGTGTATACATATATATATATATTTGTCAAGGTGTGTGCGTTTCTTTGCAGCAGACAGGCAGGACAAAAAGACAAAATAAAGAACAGAGCGAGGAGGAGCCGAGCCAGCCAGACAGATGAGACGATATGTAAGAGAGAGAGAGGATTCGGTTGGCGGTGTTGTGAAAGGTGAGCGGTCCCGCTGTCACAACACACTTCTCCTGACCACAAAGACACGGTGACACACTTCTGTAGCTGCAGGGGAAAAAGCGCCACTTCCTGAAGGAGACTCTCTTCCCTGTCTGTCTCCCTCTTCATTTCTACCAGTAGTGATGCTGTTTTTTTTTGTTTTTTTTAAATATTTGCTAGGCTGTTGCCGAGGGTGTACTGCTTGTTTTTTTCAGTCTCGGGGGACATGAATGCGTGCGTGCAACACTGTGAGAAGAGGTAGTTGGCTATAGGGGTATGTTGTTTTTTCGTTGGTGAAAGATCTTTTAAAGCCAAAAATCCCACTTCTCTTATCCCCCTTTTCCTCCTCTTCAGCCCTCCGCCTGCATTAATGATCCTTCACCTGTTTGCTCCTTTCCTTAATTTCCCTTTTACCCTCCTAGCACTTTCTCTATCAACTGCATCTTTAACGGCTTACTCTCTATTCCCATCCCAGTCTTTATCCGCCATGCTCTATATCCTTCCTGCCTTGCCTCCCACAGCGGTGATCAGAAAGTAGGTGCTGATGTTGCAGCTCCTGGCTGAACTGGCTCACAATATCAGTGGGTGGACAGACATGCCAGAGAGCTCCTGTCAACAGCGAGTGCGCCCTGGAGACTAGCCCACATGGTGGATACTGATCCCCTCTGCTACACCACAAGAAAAGGAGTCGACGCTATTTCTTAACAACCGGTGCGGAGAGAGGCGCAAAAGCCAAGATAAGCACCAAGACAGCACTATTTTTATGGTCCTTCTGAGGCTGCGGTGGCTGCCTACTCATCCGTCACGGGCTCTTAACAATCCTGTTTGTTTGCTAATATTAAAACAGATCATTAGTGAATGCAACCTTCTCCAAGAATCTTGCAGCACAGCTTTCCCCGATCAGTCACGCGGTTTAAAAACTGACTGGCACGGTCCGTCATCCAGAGTTTGACAACGTCTCAAGTGGCCCACGAGCTGAAAGCTACAGGCAGCGGTTAACCCCGGCAGGTTTATCTCCCCTGCTTCTTCTTCGTCTCATCCTGTCGCTTCACATGGGTAGAGAGAGACATTCCGTGTCTAATTAATGCACAGGATGGTTGTATAAAACAGCTAATGAGGCTGTGATCACAGTGGTGTGAAGGCAGGCGCTATCCGAGGGGTGGGGGTGGTGGGTGGGGGTGGGGGGCACTACTCCACTACTTCCAGGAGACACAGAGCCTCACAGTCATTAGCCTGTCACAGGAAGAGAGCGGATGGGGAGACTGGAGGTGGTTAGGTGAATACTTGTTTATCTGTTATGCTTCCCCTCAGTCTATGAGACCTATTAACTAAGACCTAGTGTTAACCCACTAAATACCCAGAATTAATTGTGTATGAAAAAGCAGAGCTTGGGTTTCTCATAAAAACACAACATTTTCCTGCAGTTGCGTCAGTAGTCGTACAAAAGCAAGACAAGGAGAGAGATTATGCTTGCACTTAATGATATTGATCTCAGCTCTCCATGAATAATCTGCCACCACAACACTCAACTCTCTCAAAGTGACACCACAAGCAGAAAGAAAGAAAACTTTTAATGACAGACCAAGTGTGTTCAAGGACACATTTTGAAAACCATTCCAAGGACTCTCAAGTAATTGGCACAGATATACCGTGTGAAATCTTCGTCATTTGCTCAGATTCTTGCATTCTACAAAAAAAATAATAAAAAAAACTTGCTCCCTCAGCACAGCTCCTCCAGCAGGATGAATGGGCTGCACACAAGCTGCTCTCTAAGCAACTGCTCATTACTCAAAACACATCTGCTGGCGAGTAAGAAGCCCCTCTCTCCAATTTGCCACCTCACTTTCATTTTGTGTCTTAATCCACTCGCTCATCTCCTTTACCGTCTTCTCCATAAAACACTCCCAACAAGGCTCCTGTCTTGGTTTTGGAACCTCTTTCCAAAAAACAAGCAGCACCAGCAGCAGCAGCAGCAGCAGCAGCCTTGAACTGCTCTCTGCACAGCACGCATAATGAATCACACACACACACACACCAACAACAACAACAACAACACCACACACACACAATCGATGCCAGAGTCGGCCGTGCCTCTGCTCACCTGTGCAATCTCATACAGCAGCTTGTAGTGTTCCTCTCGCTTCTGTAAAGTGCACAGATTGCAGCCCATTATAGTAGTCGTGGAAACGCCAGGCGTCCAATGCTCCCCGAGTAGTGGTGGTACGGACACAGGGGGTCACCCTCCACACCGGAGCGCTGGTTCTCATCAGTCACTCCTTAGCAAGCATCTCTTTCAGGCATCCCATTCACACATTCAGACAGTCACAGACAGCCTCAGCTCAGAGGAACACAGGGCTCCAGCTGACTCTCACAGATGAAGGTTCAGATGTGAGCGGTGTGGCAGCAGTGGTACAAGTAGCAGCGGCCGTTTCAGCATCAGCCCGTGTTGTCTCCTCTCTCCTCTCCCGCTCCCTCTATTTCACAGACTCTCACACACACACATGCACACACTCGCATGCCGGAGTTGTGACTCTCGCTCACTGAGACACTCCCCCCCCCCCCCTCCTTTTTTCCCCCTCCTCAGCCTTGGCGCACATGACTACGCTGATACCAGTTCATGAATAATGGTGGGGGGGTGGGTGGGGGGGTGCTGTGATATTCATGAGGGAGGCGGAAATAGGGGCGGGGACTGGAGAAGAGGGAGGAGTGTGAGAGAGCAGGAGCGCTGGTTCATTAAAAGTGAGGCACAGTTATACAATAGGCTCCTTTGTGTGAGCAGCTCCTGTGAGGAGCTTGGGCAGGGCTGACTGCGCCGAGACGGCACACTGCGGACGGAGGGTTTCTGAGGCTGATGGGTAACCTACCTGCATCTGACGCTGTTCACTGAGTGTTTATCTGCTTCATGGGTGGAGGATGTGTTGCCATGTGCTATTTATTTCTGATGGAAATAAGGAGTAACACTGGTTAAGGAGAGATCAAGCTGGAAGTACTTTTAAAGCACAAAATGGCAAAAGATTTAGCACTGAAATCATTAATCAATCAATTGATTGATCCCCAGAATTGTAATAAACAACAATTCTGATAACTAACTGCTCAAGTTAAAGCAAAAATGCTTCACATTTTCTGGTTTCCAGCTTTTTAAACAAGATGATTTGCTGCTTTTCTATGTTTTATATCAGTGTAGAAGAAATGTCTTTGTGTTTTGGACCATTGGTCAGACAAAACAAGCAAACTGACTTCTCTTCAACTTTGGCATTTTTCACTATTTTATTTTAATATTTTATTAACTAAACAAATCTGATTATAGAGAAAAATAATCAAAAAATCAGTTGATAATCAAATTTGTTGCCCTATATAGCTTTCCTCATTTTTTAATCTTTATCATTAGAGCTCAAAAGAATAGTTAATTAGCTAATTGAAAGAAAAGGCGATAATTAATTGTTTGTTGATTTTTCTAAGCATTAAGTCTAATTTGCGTGTCGTATGTTTCAATAATCCATTACTAAACAACTAAATATCTTCAGTTTTGAAGTGTTGGTTGGACTTAAGAAATCTGATGACATCATCTTGGGCTTTAGGAAATTGTTATGGGCGTTTTTCACTTTCTTTTTACATCTCATGAACCAAACTATTAATTGATTAATTGAGAAAATAACCAGCAGTTTAAGTAATAATGATAATAATCATTAATGGCAGAGCTTCTTATATTGAAGAGATGAGAGTTGGCTTGTCTTTGTGCATCATCATAATACAAATGTACAGCATTTTCTACAGCACATACAGTTAATGGGACCTCAACTCTGCAGTGCCTAACTATCTTAAAAGTGAAATATGAACTGACTGCTCAGGATGAGAAGTGGCTTAATATAAGAGAAAAAAACAATTTATTACAAATTTATAACTCAGTAGGCACTACAGGTGTCACTGGTAATGGGCCGTCCTCACAGCAAATTGGCAATCAGCAAAGCCCGGGACTACAGAGACAATATATCAACCATTGCCTTTCCTCAAACTGCTATAATTACAAGACAATAGACCTTGGCTATTGTCTCAGCCAAGAAGCCCCCTTTCGCTAGCAGGAAGCTACACTAACGAGCAATAATTGTTAATAAATTGGCCTCCAAGCCAACAGCAGGGCTCTCTGTGCAAAATACAGTTAAGAGTAGATGAGCGCTCATCAGCTGGCTACTGGGCATCCCACCCCCAGGGACTCCATAATCCGATTTTGTGGGCTTTAATTTTGCTCCGCTGCCTGGAGGCAAGCCAAACAGAGACCTACATCATAGAGCACCATTATGGTTAATACATCCTCCATCCTTCCCCTTCGTCTCCAACACCCGAACTGTTCCTCGCTGCCATCCGCTGCTCATCCTGAAGAAGCCACAAGGAGTGGGTTTTCTGCAGTTGCCAGGCAATATCAAATCCATGAAGTGCTGTTCACTAAAGTGTCAATTTGACATCAAAGGGTCTTGTTGGGAGACTGGGGAGTGGGGTTATAATATTGCATTTGATGAACAGGGGTGCTATGTTTGCTTGCGGTAAAATGGACTGTGAAGAAAATGTGAGTCAGGCAGTCCTCTGAAATTATATATCAATGACTGAAAGCTATGAAGTGCTTGGACACGAGGAGCACTGCCTGTCTGGTTGTCTCTAGTCAGCACAGATGTGAAATGTAAAACACTCAGGGTCAAATACAATGTCCTTCCTGCATAGAAAGACAAATATTAGATTGAGAATCTGCTGACCGTATCCAATATTAGAGCACGTAAAGAAGTGTACTCAGGCTTCAGGTCTGGATGACCATCACTCTGCTATGTTGCACTCGCTGACCCCTAAAGGTTAAGATGCTCATCGGTCACCCAAATGGTCTTTCTCATCATCTGTGAAGCGAGACTGATACAGTAGCCTCTGCCTGCGGTCAAGCAGTACCTCTCGGTGGGACATGCAGAGTGAAGGATGCTCTTTGAAGAGTGCATTAAGACTGATAAAAGCTCTCCCGAGGTGCTTTATGGCCACGGGTTTTACATTGTGACAGGGTGAATTTACCTGAGACTGCATTTCCAATGCGACCTGAGGGCAAGATTGCCACATTATAGTTAACAGTTAGTGAAACCATTCACTTTGTGACAAGGTGAAGCTTCGCTGGATGTACAATTTGTCTCTTTACCCGTCCCTCCTAGACATTTTATGTAGAAGTTATGACCAATGTTAAGAATATGAGAAACTTACGCAATATAATTTATTGTTTTAACATTTATACGGAAAATGAAAGTAGCTATTGTGTCTGTATTTCATGTTGATGACCACCAATTCTCTCTCCTCCTCTTGTCCTTTCGACTTCCCCGCTGTCCTTTCCTACTGTCCAGCGGTTGTTTATCATCCAGTCTGCCCTTTGCCTGCTCGTGTAGAAACGCGTCCTCGATCGTGTTCATTCTCTCAGTTAATGGGCCTCACATCGCGGGGGCATGGAGAAGCGATTTGTCCTCACCATGATGGGTGCATTTTGAGGTTTCTTCAATTGCATTTCTGACAAACTGATATTTGAGCTCACCTCAAACGTGGAGCTATAACCTTCAGCCAAGTGTGTAATGCAGGTGTATTGTACGGCCCAGTCCCACATGTCTGCCTAATGCTCACCCACCCACCCTCTTTTTCCGTCTGTCTTGTCACATATATGCACAAGTACATGAAACAGCAAAAACACAACTGATCTGAATGCTGCCAGTGTGGAATATGAAATAACAATCAGTACCCACAAACTGATTTGGATCGATTTCTTGTCCTGGGATAAATGCCGCCAACTGTCACTCAGCAGAGCACAAAACTGGGATCAATTTAATATTTCACCGCATCTGGGTCAACAGACTGATATGCATCGCATCTGAATGCCTTCTTCAGTAGGTAAAACTTGCCGTGTATTTTTCTTTTCCATTCTGGCAGAAACTTTTCAAGACATTTGTGGCTGCCAATCACCGCTACTGTCAGGAGAGCTTTTGTTAGCAGCTCAGGTGAGAGGAGAAGCTCAAGCTGATATTTAACAATCCGCAAATATGAGATGAAATCTAACAGACAAAAAGCTTCGGTCTGGCTGGGACAGAATAGTATGGATTATCCCGGACCAGTGGAGGAGATGTATTTCAACAGCTTATGGTAACCTTGACAACAAAGGAGAGAGCATCTTAAAACAGCTGCAGATTTAATAAGAAGCGGTTATTGCTGTGATTACTCGTCTATGGCAGTGTCTGTCAGGAATATCAAGTGTCCCTGCAGTGTTTAATACATAAACAGGTTTATTAGGCCAGCTCTGACACACTGGGTGGATGGAAATCTCTTTGGTGTGAGCACTTGAAGCTTGTAAAGATTGAAATCCTGTTCACGTGAATGGAGAGCCGTGGGGATTGAAGAGTGGTTTGTGATGGGACGCCTGGCTCAGATGCGACGGCCATGCTGCCGCTGTAGAGCTGCCCGCTCCTCCTGGGTATCCATGTGACCTGATTTGGGAGTAATTAAATGAGGCCCTTTTATGAATGAATCATCATCGCAGCCTGCTCCTGCGATGACAGCTTTGATGGGACTTGGTGCATTGTGCACACACGAACGCACAGGTGGGTGCTTTTGAAAGCCGACGTGGCCAGACTGTGGGAAGCCAACCAAAACATCTTTCTCAATGACAATAAATTATTAAAAAGGCTTGAATCTTTAATTCATGTGGGAACATGACAATGGATAAAAGTTGCACATTGTGCTTTGCATGATAACACATGTAATGTTGTTTTCAAGAAATCAAGTATCCATGGCTTTATTTTTTAATCGTGTAATATGTTTAGTTAATAATTTGAGTCTGTGATCTATGTTCAGTATCTACCTCACCAATATCTGTCATGAGATATTAGTAACTTAGACATTAATCTTGACAAAGCTGTTTCTTCTAAATTAATGGTGATATTTAAAGGTGAGTTTCGACAAAGCTTTGCAAAAAAAGAATCAAAGTATGTTCTGCCATTTTGCTTGACACTCTCCTTAAGTGAATGTCTGCTTTGCTGCTAATGAGCCTCTTCACCGAGACGTCACACCACCCCCGACAAGTTTTCCCTTCACTTCTACAAAAAGCAGAATATGACACAAACACGCCACAACAACACACACGTCCTACATGAAATCTGGTTAACC